AAACGAAGAAAACAGATAAACTGAATTTAAACTGTCCTGACATGGAAAATACATCTTAATATGAAGAGAAGATGCAGAATATGAAAGATGATGTCTGGGGAAAAAGAAACAGAAAAGATCATGTGGTAGAGAAAGAAAGAACTGAAAACCTAACCCTGCTAACCTACAGTATATCAAAATAATACTGAATGTTGTTCGCAGCTTCAGAGCATGGCTCAGCCCTAGGATCTGAACTAACCTCTGGAAAGATATCAGATCTCCTCATTGACAATAGAAGGATCCTACAACAACTAGATTTTTTAAGTTACTATCAGCATTAATTTAACAGAATCACGCACATGTATTCTGGCCAGTCTTGCTGTGGCATTGAAAACACTAAAAAAATAAATAGGCTTGCGTTAAACCACTGTTGTAAGAGTCTTGCCTTTTTGTTTCAAAGACTCTTAACATTTGAAGAATAAATGTGGCTTGTTTAACAAATGTGACTCTGAAAAACACTGTTTTGTTGGGTGTCTGAAGCGAAAAATTGCTATCATTTGTCTGATTAAAGTTTATAAAAAGTACAAAACTGTTTGCCACATAAAATATTCCAACTACTTCAGCTTCTGCTAAAATTTTTGAGAACCAATCTCTAGATTTAGCTTTAGCATGTCGCTCCCAGAATGCTAATGATGTCTTACAAATTAATATACATTCTCATGACTCTGTTCTGCATTTAAAACCTAATAGTGAAGAACATCTTGGAATCTATTGGCAGAAAAATGAAATCAGATATTATTAACTGACTACAGGGATTATTACTCCTTGGGAATTAAATAGTCCTTTTAGCACTTCTACAAGACAGCTGGATTCTAACCAGAAAATCTCAACATTGGTTGCATCAATAGGAATTTTGTCATTCATTCCAGCAGGTTTATGAATTATATCAAGCACATAAAGAATCCAGTTCCAACCAAGTAGTTCTTCGAAAATGATCCACTCAGTTTTCTCTCAGGTGTTTTATTTCCAAGGTTATTAATGAACCGTAATTGAATATGCAATATTCATGAACTGGAAACCTTGTGCTGCAGTAGTAGTCTAAACTTTTACTGTTAACAGTGTTTTGTGGGTTTTTTTGGTGGTAGAAGACATATCAAGACTTGATTCTAATAATTATGAAGAAAAAAACTGGTTATTCAGGTCTGTTAATCCTGGTTTACTTGATGTATCTTTTTCACTTGATACTTGATCTTTTTTCTTTTTCTCTTTTAAAATGATTTTTTCCTTCTGGGTGCTTAAGAGGAAAAATAGAATAATGGTACACCAAAACATGTCAAAAACACTCTAAGCTATTAACATTTTAAGCTGTTGATAAACGAATATATGTTGATAATGGCAATTTAGTCTTTCTTATGCCATTATGCTGTCCCGTATGGTGAAGATGCTATCTGTAACATTTAAACCAGGGAGGACTGAACTTAGTAATCTTTTACTTCAGGTTTTTTAAATTAGTCTAATTGACACCTTTAATTGTCACTTTTGCTTTAAAACTTTTTCTCAAATGATCTTTACAGTTATGTGAAATTGGTTCATATCTTCTGAAAGGGTAAAAGCACAACAAAAAAGTTCTGGTGCAGTCATCACCGACTTACAGCTCCTCAAAGTTTTGCAGGACTAGTGAAAATTTAAGTTTCCATATAGTTTTATACATTAATCGTTAGTGTTCATTATACAGAACACAGTCTTTTCTTACTGAATTGGAAAAAAAAAAAAAAAGAAAGAAGAGGAAAACTTACTTCTATTCTGGTTCTTAGCAATTACTTCCATTATAATTTCCTTCACTGTTTCACATACAAGATTTTCTTCTCTTTCTGCATCAACTTTTACTAGAACATTTCGATGGACAGAAAACCATTTCTCTAATTTTGGCCATGCATCTAGAAAGCCTGAAATTCTATAAAAATCATATTAATGTATAAAATTAAAATCTAATGGAAAAGAAGCCATTTTCCCAAATTAGTAGACAAAAGAGAAAGCAGACCATCTAATTTAATGCTCTAATAAATCTAGGCAATATTTTTTGCAAAATAATACTTCATCCACCTCAACCCCTTCAATTTCAACATACAAAAATCTTCAAAATCCTACTTTTAACTAGTCTTACATATTTCTTACACTTTCTCGTCACAAACTAAACCTACTTTCTTATGTCACCACTAAACCCAATAATTATCAATAATAATCTGAAACAGTTAATCATATAAAATATTTAGAAACAAAAGTCATTCTTGGTTTTGATCTTTATGTAAAACTAAACATCAAATGATTCAATAAAAATATAAAACTAATTGGTTTTTATAAATATACAAGTAGAAGATACCATTTTAGAAACTCTGTAACTCAAATGAAGCACATTTCACTCAAGGGCAAGTCATATAATGTACGACATACCTCAGATATATGTATGCATGTATATTTATATACATATATGTATATGTGTGGTTCATGCAATACATATCTGAAAAAAGAAATTATCCTACAAAGAATACCTCAGATAATCAAAATGCATGAATTCTTATCTTCTAGGATTATTTATATTGTGCCAGAAACGAAAGTACTCCTTAGGATCCACATTAGAGAAACTCCCAAATGAATTCTTAACAGGCATGCCAGCACTATCATAGATCACACATATAATCAAATGCCTAAACATTTGGCTGAAGCATGTTTTTTGTACTTCATATAACATACCTGTGTAGCACCTTGTCCCTGGCCAAGTCAATCATCTCTTCCTGGATTTCAGCCTCTGAATTTTGATTGTTTTTCTCCTGTTCAGTTTGAGATGACTTTGATTTATCTGCTGTGTGGAAAACAGCATATATTAGCATACATCCGAAAAAAAGCAATTATGCAGACAATCGTTTGCCCAAAGTAAGATAATTATTAAAAGAAAAATGTCAATGTTCCTTGTCTTACAACTCTTCATTTAAAAATTAAATACAATTGTATACCAAAAATCCTGAAAGAAAAAGTCAGAGAAAAACAGAAATACAAAATTAAACTGGAAGGAACCTAAGGACAGTGCCTTGCTTCTTCCTCTGTTTAAATGCATAGCAGATTATAGCACTAACATTTCCTGATGTATGCTTTGCAGTCATAGCAATCTGCAGCATGAGAAAGGGAGTGCTCCTCTGGGTGGGCTGTTTCAGGCTCATCTATTCTAACAATTAGATGACATTTTCCCAGTCTAATCCCAATCTTCCTTGAAGTAACTACTAATTTTCACAACAATGGGCAGATACTTCACTGCATCAGAAGCAAGGTATTCTGTTTCTCTAAGTCTTCTTCAAATTAAAAATAAACTGTAGTTCATAGAGTCATAGAGGGGTTTGGGTTGGAAGGGACCTTAAAAATCACCTAGTTCCAACGCCCCTGCCATGGGCAGGGACACCTCCGACTATAGTAGGTTGTGCAAGGCCCCATCCAACCTGGTCTTGAACACCTCCAGTGATAGAGCATCCACAGCTTCTGTGGGCAATCTGCTCCAGAGACTCAACACCTTCCCTGAGCAACCTGTTCCAGTGCCTCACCACTCTCACAGTGAAGAATTTCTTCCTTACATCTAATCTAAATCTACCCTCTTCCAGTCTGAACCCATTAGCCCTCATCCAATCACTACAAACCCTTGTAAAAGTCCCTCTCCAGCTTTTTGTAGGCCCCTTCCAGATTCTGGAAGGCCACAGTAAGAGCTTTCTCTTTTCCAGGCTAAACAACACCAATTCTCTCAGCTTGTCCCTGTAAGGGAGTCGTTCCAGCCCTGATTGTCATTTTGGCCCTCCTCTGGGCCTGTTCCAACAGCACCACGTCCTTCTTGTTTTGTAGGCTCCAGAGCTGGATCCAGTACTTCAGGTGAGGTCTCACAAGAGCAGAACAGAGGGAGAATCACCTCCTCTGACCTGCTGACCACACTTCTTTTGATGCAGCCCAGGGTATTGTTGGCTTTCTGGGTGGCACTCACACATTGTTGGCTCACGTTGAGCTTTTCATCAACCAGCAGCCTAAGTCTTTCTCCTTGGGACTACTCTCAGTTCATGCTCTGCACAGCCTTTATTTGTGCTTGGGATTGCCCTGACCCAGCTGTAGGGCCTTGGACTTGTCCTTGTTGAACTTCATGAGGTTGGCATGGCTCCACCTCTGAAGCCTGTCAAGGTCCCTCTGGATGGCGTCCCTTCCTTCCAGCTTGTCAACAGCATCACACAACTTGGTGTCATCTGCAGACTTGCTGAGGGTGCACTCAATCCCTCTGTCCATGTCACCAACAAAGACATTAAACAGCACTGGTCCCAGTACCGATCCCTGAAGAACACCACTCATCACTGGTCTCCACTCGAACATCAAGCCGTTGACTGCAACTTTTTGAGTGCAATCGTCCAGCCCATTCCTTATCCATTGAGTGGTCCATCCATCAAATCCATGTCTTTCCAGTTTAGAGACCAGGATGTTGTGCAGGACAGTGTTGAACACTGCACAACTCCAGGTCAATTATGTCAGTTTCTCTTCCCTTATACACTGACTGCAACTCCATCATAAAAGGCCACCAGACTTTTCAGGCACAATTTGACCTTGTTGAAGCCATGTTGGTTGCCACCAATCACCTTCTCATTTTCCAAGTGCATTAGCAGACTCTTCAGGAGGATCTGTGAGACTGACTTGCTGTAGTTTCCTGGGTTTTCTTTTTTTTCTCTTTTTAAAAATGTGCATTATGTTGCCCCTTTTCCAGTCAGTGTAAACTGCACTAGACTGCCATGACTTTTCAAATATGATGGAAAGTGGTTTAGCCATTCCTTGTAGATTTTTTTTTTAAACTCTATCACCACATTATATCTTATAAAATAAATTCTGTTTGGATCTGAGATTATATAATGATTAACACATTTTCAAAGTGTTTTGGCCACACAAGGTTTTTAAATTAAGAAGAATTAACATTTATCTTCACTGCACTGTTAGCAGAAGCTCTAATGATTTTGCCTTATCCTCACTCCTGCCTATATGTAGAAGCTAAGGGTAAATGGTGCTTTAATTCAAGACATGTCATATAAGTGCTGCAATGAAAACAATTAAGAGAAACATCACCTTTTAAACAATATCCATGAAAAGAACTTAAGTTTTGCCAAGATGACTAAGGTTAATTAAAAATGTGTGGTCTGCAAGTGAAACAGTCCTCAAAAAGCTTTTGACACCCCTGCCTTTGTTGACCAAAACTGACAATTTCTGATTGCTCACTGACTAACTGAAGACAAGACAAAGGCAGTAATCAACAGGGACTGAGTGTTGGCCCTCCCAGGAAATGAATGAACCAGAAGGCTGTGCTGCCATTCAGA